GTCTCTGATGTTCACTTTATTGTTTAGTAGGATTGAAACTTAACTAATAGGAGAATCATGGTTTCACAGACAGTATTTTTCTCTTTTCTTTTGTGTAATCATATATGGGTTTTGTGGATTAATAAATCATATGATCCTTTGTAATTTGTCCCATTGGTTTTTGTAGATCTCTTCTCTATATTTATCTTCAAAGATTTTTCTGATGAGAATTCATCTTCTTATACGTTAGATTACCTGATAAAACCGTGCTTGAGCGTGGATCTTCGTTCATGTCGCTTAGAATGAGTTTCTTTGACTTTTTGTTAGTTTCGGTTGTTTAATGTCTTTAAATTTACGCATATTGGAGTCTGCTGAATAAGATACGATGTTATGTACAACCAATGTATCTTTAGTGGTTTGTTTTCTCACACCATTCATGCCACCACTTCCATCAATGTCTTCTTTGATGTCACTTTAGTTATCCAAATTCTATTTTAACATATAACCTATGCAAATCTTTGAAATTTACAATATTATGGTGTTTCTTTTTTCTTTCTAAATTATGTCTCATCTATCATGAGATTGAGGCGAAGTGTTTTAATATTACTTTACAATATCTTTTAGGGGTTTGGGATTTGTGTTTTTCTTTTAGATAATTTTTTGATATTTTGTTTGTGATATTTTGTATTTTTTTCTTGATTTGTTTTTTTTTTGTTAATATAAAAATTACGAGAAACATAATGATGACGGTGATAAGAAGAACACAAAAGAAGAGTAAAGAAAACGAATAAAAATCTCTAAAAAAGAAATGAATAAGAAGACAGAAAGAAAAAACGGAAGAGAAAATCTTTAAAGACTTTGATTAACGTTGATTTTTGTAATAACATCCAGAAGTGGTGATGAAGTTAAATACCAAAAGTAATTTTAAAAAAATCATACGTACTTAGATGAGTATAGCCAGTGGAGTTATAAATGTTTAGTGGACTTATGTATGCATTACATAAGATGTATTGCACGTGTCTTTATAACGTTGTCATTGTGTCCTTTAAACTTTAAATTTTTAATTTGCTAAAATATTATGTTATATGCATAAAGTATAAAAAATATGATTGGAAACTATTTTTATGAAAACTAAATATTAATTAAAATCAATTTAAAATAGACGATCATATGCTATAAATGCATATAAAAAGTTATGACAAAGATAAATGCGACGTGAGTATAACACCATCCGTCAAAACTAACCAAACACTACATATTATGCGCTATATTTGTAGTTGAGCTCAATTGTACCATATTTGTGTTTAATTTGTTAGGGTTAAGGCTTTCATACGGTTAAAGCTCCCCTTTCTTAGGGTTTAGTTCTTTTTAGTTTGCAAAAAAATTAATGCTTTATAATCTGCTAAAAATATAAATGGTATATCGTATATTTATAAATTATAAAATATATGAATGATAACTTATTTTTATGAAAACAATATTTACAAAAATCAATATAAAATAGTGATGGGCGGTCCTATCATATAAATGCCAGTAGAAAGTTATATGAGATAGATAAGTGCGATGTGAGTATAAAACCATCCGTCAAAACTAACGGAACACTACATGTACGAGCTATATTTGTAGCTGAGATAAATCGAACCATAGTTTTATTTAGGGTCTAAATGGTAGTCAAATTTCGGAATATCTGGAATAAGATGAATTAAAAGAAACGGAATAGAGGTGAATAGAATAATGGCGGTTAGATGAATAAGATGAATGGAATAAATAATCGCAGACAAATATTTATACAAGATGAATGGTGTTATTTTAAAGGAATAGAATGGAATYTAAAATAAATATTATTAAATTAAATAATATTATATAAAAACGAAAATTGTATATAACTTACTATATATTATATTAAAAAAATAAAAAACGTTAACATAGAAACCTAGTTTTATTAGCATAGTTCTAGAATTCTTAAACTAAATTATTGAGCCTAACATCTAACGACGGAAACGAGATACCCCAGATTTTGCAATCCATATTTCCTTAGCAATTTGATCACGAACAACTTTCATATAAGCACCAGCTTCAGTGTTTTCTTCAACTCGAACACTTTGATCATCATTTGTGTCGTCATTAATAGTTTGCTTACCATGTAGAACATCCTTTGAAGCATCTGGTTCTTCAAACTCAACATCTCCAATGTTGTTCTGACGGATGAAATTATGAAGTTCCATTGTAGCAAATATAACACGTCTCTGTACAGAAATA